AGAAATATTCTAGTAAATGTATGTCTTCTGTTTCATAGTTATATCTGGAAGATACAGAAGATTATATCGAATATTTGATATCAAGAGGACGATTGGATGAAGCAGCAGTGAAACTAGCTTTCATTGTGAACAAAGAAGATTCTGTGTCAAAGCATGGCAAGTCAAATCATCAGTTGTGGAGTGAACTTTGTGATCTAATTTCAAAGAATCCTGATAAAGTAAGGTGAGAATATTGCTATTTCCATGTCATTATTATGAGGGAGTGTCAGTAAATAGGTCACAGATGAAAGTAAGACACCTGTAATGGATGAAATAGGTTTTCTCTGTAGCAGCATAGTCCAACATCAGGATAGTCTAGGTAGCAGATGTGCACATGAATGATCAGAGGCTGGTTTCAGTAGTCAAAATGGCAACTGTGCTTGAGGGGCATAACACTGAAGAGCAGCATTGTGTTGTGCGGTTTATGAGGGCAAAATGACTTGGTGCAAAGGATATTCATAAAGAAATGTTTCCTGTTTACTGTGGGAAGTGTTTGGCGCATAAAGCAGTTCACAGCTGGGTGAGATATTCTCTCAGGGATGTTTGAAGTCTCAGACGATGAAACAGACATGCAGAAGAGTCAAAATACTTCTAAGCTGCAGGTTTCTACTCTTTGGTAAAGAAATGGGACAAGTGTATCAATGTTGGTGGAGGATATGTTGAGAAATGAAAGTTTTTTCGAGGTTCGAATATCACATGTTTTACATTTTATATCCACTTGTGACCCATTTACTGACACTGCCTCGTATTTTGAAGTTGAGAGTATGAGTTGATATTGTCACATGTAGGGGTGACTGCACATAGGGTTTGGATTGGTGACTAAATTGACCACTTACATATTGTAACTACAAATAACAATAAGACTGTTGCTATTTCCACAATTCACAGTTCATTAGAGCACACAGTCTAGTGTTCTCAGTCTGTTACTAGACATTTCATGGGAATGGCTCCAACAGTGGCTATTCCTCTGCCACCAGCTCAAGTCCTCTCTTCACAGCCTCCCATTCAGAACCTAACTAGTTCCATGGGAATCCGAAACTCTGTCAGAATATTGTACAATACTTCCCCCCTAACTGAATCATAGGCTGAATCACTGCACAGGATGATGGGAATTCTCATAATTTGGCTCCACAAGAAATATTACTAGGATGATTACACCAGTTGCAGGGGATTCTGATTCAGTGCAAAATGTTGTCCTGTGGGGTGGTGCCAACCTTCCTTCTTACTGCTTGGAGGGGGCACACATCAAGTTCACTTCCACATGGTCTCTGGGTCTGTGGAGAGGACGCACGGGCCACAGGAACCGTGGACGGAGACCTCCTTCTGCGCTCACTTGTTGCACTGCTTGCAGCTGAAGATGACGTCCCCTAAGAAAAAGCAAGATCCTGTGATATATGAAAATTAATAAAATTATTGAAATTGAGAAAGGCCTTTGGAATTGGTGGTATTCCAGACAAATGCCTCAGGCACCTTCCAAGATGGCCATGTGGATATTTAGCACATTTATTTAATTGCATTTCCAAAGTCTTAGAAGGATGTTACAAATAGGAGGCTGTAACAAGCTGAGAAGACTAGTGTGGAATATAATGATTTGCACAGCATTGTGGTTACACACAGGAGTTGGGATAGCTCAGTCAGTATATTGAAGGGCTATGGGTTGGACAGTCCAAGTTAAATTCCCTGCAATGCAAGATTTATTTTTCTTCTCCACAGCATCCAGACCGACTCTGGGGCTCACCCAGCAGTTTTTCTCCACCGGCTGATGCATCACATTTATGATACTGACGGTCAGCTAGATAGGTTGTTAATAAAACCAATTAACAATCCGAATGGCGCCTTCAGTAGTCCCAAACACATTACAATATCATGACTTAGTAGCTGACACACATTCATTACAAATTTAAATTCATTCATTCATTCATCAGTGATCTGTCAGACAACAGGTCCACAGTTTCTTCCAAAACAATTCCTCCATTTCATGCGATTTAGAGCTTTCTCCTTCAAATGAGAGTATCCTCTTCTGTCTCCAAGGTCATCCAGCATTCATTAAAAATTTAAATAGCAGTCATAATAGTGGACTCTTTAGTAACGCCTGTCGGTAAGTGAATACTAAGACGGGATGGTATGGACTGGAATAATCTGGCTCAGGATAGGAACAAATGGCAGGCTCTTGTGAACTTAGTAATAAACCTTCAGGTTTCATAAAATGTTGGGAAATTCTTTAGCAGCTGAATGAAGACAGAGCTCCATGGAATTACTGAGTGAGTGAGTCAGTCAACACGTAGGCAAGTGTGAGTCTCAAATTTTCAAGACCAAATGAAAAAAAGAATTCTATCTCGATTCACATACTTACTCTTCATTCCTGAAATTTGAAAATTTTCATATAATTGCTGTGGTTTTGAACAGAAGCACATGAACAGTGAGTTCATTAGAATCATGATGATGGATACCAGTGGACGCACATATCAGCTTGCCAACAAAGTTTTCCCCCCACCACTTCTGTCCAATGATAAAAAGGATATGGCCCTAGAATTTAGTTTCTTAAACACAATGGTTTATGAAAATTATTAATTTTGACTACAGTGAAAAAACTGATCTAGCAGAGAAAATTTTTGTTCTTGTCCCAGTTTCTAAATTTCTTTCAAATTCTTGTCTCAACTTCATTTTGAACTGAAACAGTTGTTCTTGCATGTGCCTATTAATAAGTCTTATAGAACAGATTTCAGGATACAAACCATGGGGGAAGAGAAATTTAGGGAGCCCAATGAGGAGATAGCATGTAGCTTAACAGGTCACACAGTTCAATACCTGATGAGAAATTAATATCTAACATTACCTCATGGGGTTTTCCTTCATACAGTAAGACCCTCTTGTGCCACTCTTGCACGTTATGTGGGTTGTGTTGTAGCAGGACCGAGTTCAGAAGCAGGAGCCTTCGTTCCATCAGATGCTCAAATCGAGCGAGTCGTAATTCCAGGTCAATGTCATCTGTAAACACAATTTATAGTCACTGAGGGTCAGATCATACTCAGTACAACTTGCAACTTGTACTTGTTCCCATCCACCTGACTCTTGTTTTAAATCACTAATTTAATACACAAAACAAACAAATAAACTCCATAATTTTAATCCGCAAGTGAACTATACCGACCTCACTATACTTCGCTGAAGTTTAGTGCCAACTTTTGCAGATAGAGGGTGTCGTGTGGTCAGCGCAACGAATTTCGGTTTTCTAGACCGGAGCCGCTATTTCCTTGAAACAGCTCCTCAATTATCATCACAAGGCTGATTTAATACACAATGATATGTATAATATATCTGCTTGTATTGCAGTGAAGATTCATATTGCAGTGTTTTGGGTCATAATATCACATAGCCTGCTAGGTAAGTACCAACATTTTGGAAAAAAATATTGCCCCAATCTTCAGGGTAGAAAAGGCAGCATGTTCCTCTGAAATATTTACACCTATCCAATTACACGTATCATAGCCCAGAAGACCACAATGTGAATTACATTTAATTGCTAAACAGAGCAACAGTTCTGGCAGTTTTACATTCGAATTTCATGCTGCAGGTTTGTTTCAAAATTAAATAAACCTATTTTATGATCCTAACTTTCTTCCGTCGGATTCAAATTCCCTGCCGCTTCCTCCATTCTCTTACTCAAACTTAATTCTTCAAACTGTGCATAAGCATCAAACACTTGAGTGAAATCTCTCACTGTGGTCACAGTTTGAATTGCTTCTTCATAAATGTCTCGGGCCTGTGTCCAGCAAAAGAAGCAAATTTCAGTTGGACAATATCAATAGATATTAGTACAATATACTCGTACTATTCCAAGAATAACTTCAGGACTCAAGTTGGGTAGAGCTTTAAAACAAAATTAATATATATGTTAATTCTTACTTCTCATTGTTAAATAAATCCCATCCAGTCATTTTTTTGCAGTCTTTCATTAAACTCCACAACTAACAAATTACAGCAAATATTCATTCCTATTTCACCAGCTTTATTTACATTTTTATTTTAGATTTAACCACAAAGTAAAGCTGTCCTGATGTTTAACATGTCCTATGCCATGAAAACATATTGAGGAATGGATGTACAGATCCTCAAATTCTTCACCTCAGCACTAGTCAGAAGTGAGAGTTCAGCTTCATATCCTGGCTGCTTCATCCCTGGAGAAGTTCCGGTACCTATTGGATAGGAGGCTGGGTGGTCCCCAGAACAGGTATGGCTAATGTGGAGAAGAGAAAATTCTTGATCCTACTGGGACTTGAACTCCAACTCATCAACAGTCCAGCCCGTAGCCAGTCGCTATACCGACTGTGCTATCCTGGCTCCCAGATTTAACCACAAGAACACTATAATCACCTATACCCACCTTCTCGAACAGACCACTGCAAACGTAATAATCTGCCAACGAGTTCCATAGATGACCCACTTGATCTGTGTATCTTCTGAGTCCTCCCCGAATAATTGCATCAACATTCAGAGATCTGAAAGGTATGACATTACAATGCTTTATTGCAGAGCACAGGGTTACTGTTTAATTCAGGCATGATGCCCAACTAAGAAGCTTCCAGATGTCTAAGTCAGTGTCACATAACTTTAAAACCACCGAAGTTGTTAGTCATGGAAGTAAAGGTAAAGACATCAAGAATGACATGGCTTTATATCCATATAAAAAAAAAGTAAAGAGGTAAATTTATCCTTGTGCATAATTGTTATAGTTTGAATGTATATAAGCAGCGCGAAGATGCAGCTCGTGGCCGCGCCATTGCTCAAGCGATTAGTCGCTTGCTGGCTTTCCACCATGGTAGCCCAGGTTCGATCCCGGGTCTGGTCAAGTGGTGTTTGTGGAGGTCAAAGTGGCGCTGGGGCAGGTTTTCCCCGAGTACTTTGGTTTCCCCTGCCAATCTTCATTCCACTAATTGCTCCACAATCACCCTCACCTATCATCTGGGGCTGGTCCAATAGGCCACAAGTGGCCGCAGTGCAAGGGACTTGGTCCCACCCCACCATGGGGGGAGAAGAAGAAGAAGAAGAAGAAGAAGAAGAAAAAAAGAGGCTCCATAAAATTGTAAACGACAAAAGAAGCCGGAGAGGAGTGACCAACTTTGGGCTCTGGTCCTATGCCCTCCAAAGAAAGAGCAATCAGTATCCAGTGGAGATGAAGTTCAGTGGCCCCTGAAGCAGTTCTGGTCAGAGTGAAGATAAAAATACCTGATACTCAAACCCTGACCATGCAATCCATCGGTATGATAAATAAGACAATTTGAATCTGCAGTTATCTTTTTAAGGACTAAACAATATCTGATAATTCAGCTCCTACCTTACAGAGAATATAGCTTCATTACAAAGAGCAACCAATTAATGCTGTTTATTCTGAGAATAATACTGTCATGTGTTAAGTGACTATAGATTGGGTTTGGATGGGTAATTGGATTTATTGGACCTTACAGCTTGGAATTACAAGTAACTGTAAAAAATGTAAAGTTGTCACTGTGCTTAATTAGGTAAGCACTATGCCATGAAGACATATAGGGAAGTGGAGGTATAGCTCAACTGTTCTTCACCTCAGCACTAGATGGAGGTGAGTGGTTAGATACATGCCCCTGCTGCTTTACCCTCAGGTGAGAGCACCCAGTACTCATTGGACACAAGGCTGGGTGAGCCCCAGAGTCGGTCTGGATGCTATGGAGAAGGAAAAGAAATCTTGCACTGCAGGGAATTTAACCTGGACTGTCCAACCCATAGCCCTTCAATATACCGACTGAGCTATCCCAGCTCCTACGTGTAACCATAATGCTGTGCAAATCATTATATTCCACACTAGTCTTCTCAGCTTGTTACAGCCTCCTATTGGTAACATCCTTCTAAGACTTTGGAAATGCAATTAAATAACTGTGCCAAATATCCACATGACCATCTTGGAAGGTGCCTGAGGCATTTGTCTGGAATACCATCAATTCCAAAGGCCTTTCTCAATTACAATAATTTTATTAATTCTCATATATCACAGGATCTTGCTTTTTCTTAGGGGATGTCATCTGCAGCTGCAAGCAGTGCAACAAGTGAGCGCAGAAGGAGGTGTCCGTTGACGGTTCCTGTGGCCCATGCATCCTCTCCACAGACCCAGAGACCATGTGGAAGTGAACTTGATGTGTGCCCCCTCCAAGCAGTAAGGACGGTTGGCACCACCCCGCAGGACAACATATTGCACTGAATCAGAATCCCCTGCAACTGGGTCAGATTATATTGCACCCCAAAGGTTTCTCTGTTTGTGCTGGGTGTCTGAAAGTTTAATGTATGTATCATATTTGTCATTCTAATAAATTAATACCCAACGTCTTATGCTTTTCCTATTAACAGTGGCCTGTAATAACATATGTGTGTCTGAGGATTATTATATTATAAAGTATTTAATATGTCAATTTCAGTGTCTTCACTTAAGCGTTTATCTTCTTTGAGCTTTTATAACGCGTAACATACCCTCGCAAGGAATATTTGTGAAAACCTGAAGTCTTCTCAACTGATGAGGTATTTCTTTTGATTGTCGACTTAACATAAATCGAGGAAAACAAGAAGCTGAACCTTGCCAATTTTGTATGTATTTCTCGTCAGTTCTGAGAGTGCTATATGTCCAACCCATAAGCTCCCCCTTGACGTAATCATCCTACTAATACTTCTTGTGGAGCACAAATTATGAGAATTCCAATCATCCTGTACAATGCCCTTGTGAAGTGCAATAAGAATTTTATAAAATTTAAATGAAATTATAATAGAAAATTTTAATAGATTTTATAGCATACCGATTGACTACGAGTATGACATTTTAAACCATGAAGCATGCAGTTGCATATGCAACGAAACGACAATATTGGTGCAGTGCAGCAGTAGTAACACACCTGAAGATGTCCATTTAGGGCTGAAACATGTTGTGTGCAATGTGAGAGTGTAAGAATGAAGGAACAATCTGTTGCATTGTTGATGGACTGTGTAGTAAACAATATTAAATACAGGATTTAAAATGGAAGTATAATGAGACAGTACATCAGGTATTCATAGACGTCAAGAAAGCCTATGATTCAGTTAGGGGGGAAGTACCGTACAATATTCTGATAGTGTTTGGGATTCCCATGGAACTAGTTAGGTTCTGAATGGGAGGCTGTGAAGAGAGGACTTGAGCTGGTGGCAGAGGAATAGCCACTGTTGGAGCCATTCCCATGAAATGTCTAGTAGCAGACTGAGAACACTAGAATGTGTGCTCTAATGAACTGTGAACTGTGGAAATAGCAACAGTCTTATTGTTATTTGTAGTTATGATGTGTAAGTGGTCAATTTAGTCACCAATCCAAACCCTATCTACAGTCAGTCCTACATGTGACAATATCAACTCATACTCTCAACTTCAAAATACGAGGCAGTGTCAGTAAATGGGTCACAAGCGGATATAAAATGTAAAACATGTGATATTCGAACCTCGAAAAAACTTTCATTTCTCAACATATCCTCCACCAACATTGATACACTTGTCCCATTTCTTTACCAAAGAGTAGAAACCTGCAGCTTAGAAGTATTTTGACTGTTCTGCACCTCTGTTTCATCGTCTGAGACTTTCGAACATCCCTGAGGGAATATCTCAACCCCAGCTGTGAACCGCTTTATGCGACAAACACTTCCCACAGTAAACAGGAAATATTTCTTTATGAATATCCTTTGCACTGAGTCATTTTGCACAACACAATGCTGCTCTTCAGTGTTACGCCGCTCAAGCACAGTTGCCATTTTGACTACTGAAACCAGCCTCTGATCATTCATGTGCACGTCTGCTACCTAGACTATCCTGATGTTGGACTATGCTGCTACAAAGAAAACCTATTTCATCCATTACAGGTGTCTTACTTTCATCTGTGACCTATTTACTGACACTCCCTCATAATAATGACATGGAAGTAGCAATATTCTCACCTTACTTTATCAGGATTCTTTGAAATTAGCTCACAAATTTCACTCCACAACTGATGATTCGACTTGCCATGCTTTGACATAAAATCTTCTTTGTTCACAATGAAAGCTAGTTTCATTGCTGCTTCATCCAATCGTCCTATTGATATCAAATAATCGATATAATCTTCTGTATCTTTTGGATATAACTGTGAAACGGAAGACATACAGTTACTAGAATATGTCTGCTACTTATATATACAGTCAACTCTCGATTATCCGGGATAATGGTGGGGATGGAAATCACGATTAATCGAAAACCCGGCTAAGACAAATTTTATTAAACGTAGAAGTGTAATACTGTACCTACATAATACTATTGGTCTACCTGTATTTAAATTTATTCAACCTCATTTTTATGTCATC